TGTGACAACTTGAGCTGCTAGTGTCGTGCGGTCACATAGACTCATCAACAAAGAACTCGATATGTGGTTTTATTTTCTTCTTCCTGTCTTCTTCTAAATATTGTCTACAGAACCAGTGAACTAAACTCGTGCGGACATGTATTTTTTATTCTAACACTATAAATAGAGACTTTCTGTTAGTAAAAAGGACGGATTTATTAAATTTAATACACTTCTTGATCACCATAAAACCTTTTGACCTCCGATGTTATTCTACTTGAGTTGCACTAAAGATTCATATATTATGAATATAATATTTATTACCTTTTAACTGTTTTATCGTATTCTTACCATTGTACACATAGCATATAAGTCACGTGAGACTTTTCTCATTGTAAAAATAATATTCTCATTTACCCATTATTACTCTACCATCACATATACTTACACATTAAAAATTACATATTCCACAACTTTCACATTAATCAGAAACAATTATTATTTTTAACCACATTATATATTTTTTTTGAAAGGTTAACCACATTATATAGTTATATGTATGATACTATAAAATTGTCCATAAAACTATAAACAAAAGCAAATAGGAGTGCCGTGTGCCATGACTCGAAATCACGATAGACATTGTACTTTGCGGTTCTCGGTGTAAACGAGGAAGACAATATTTTAATATGGATTTGAAAGAAACATCAGAATCTTCAGGCGAAGTTGGAACTGCTTTACACACCAGCACAAAGTACAACTCAAATCCATGACTACTCAATATTATATTGTTGTGATAACCAGTTTAGTGTAGCCTTGAAAAGAAGAGTTTAAACCCTAATGGAAACACATTCCCATGACATATTGACATGACAAACAAAATCCATTGCTTGGATACGCGGCAAACCATGCCCAAAACCAACCATTTCATCTTCACTTTCTCGATCTTTATATGCTTACATGCACGTGAGGTTTTGTCAAGTTGACAAAACTTTAAAAGGTTTATATTATTCAAATAAAGTTGGGAAAAAAAATCTAAGATTTTGATTGGTATTGATGTTAATTGTAATATACGATCACTTGTTCTAAAACGGTTGGCTAGTAGATCGAGCATAATTATTGTATTAAAAGATCACAAATATAATTATTGTCAATATTTTTTCGGTCAAGGCAATCACATTAATGTCTTCTTTAATTTACCCAAATGTAATGGGGACATATATTATCATCCACAATGTTCCAATTACATTCAAAATGCAAAAGCTATTTTATGTTGTACCTGCTGCGAAAGATACCTGTATTGATCGACATCATAGAGTTTTCCTGAAATTAGGGTATTAATTGTCACCTAATATATTATTGGGTGAAATTTATCCTAGGTTAGTTAACAATGTAATAAGTTAATGTTGATTCTTGGTGTTTAATTAAGTCAATGCAGTATTTGTTTCCTTCATAGGTCAGGGGTTAAATTTTTGCCAACACTTTCTTGGTCGAATTCATTGTACATGGTAGTGTACTTTATCTCTCTAATGTGGTTTGCAAGTTATTATATAAAAGTACAATTTATCCAATACATACTCTTGAATCGATAGTCATTATGAATTTCCAATGTCATTTAAAAAGAAAAAAAAAAAAAAAAAAAAAAAAAAAAAAAACACCACCATAGCTAATCATGTAAAAGTCAAGGTCCCAAAATGAACCACCATGACTAATCATGTAAAACACAAAACAAAAATGTAAATTTATTTTATTTTAGTAAAATAGTTAAACAATATACAATTCCATCCAACCAATCCCACTAATTATTTAAAAGATTCTACTCTTAAACGTAATTGAGATTAGACATAAACATTATATAGAATCAAGGCTATACCATTGAATTATATTCTATAATATGTAACGATTATATGTAAAGTTTCACTGTTTGGTAAATGACGGTTAGCTAATAGCTATTAGTTAATTGTGTTAATTAGAGGTATAACTAGTTGATAACATTAGCTATTGTAGAAAAATGTTTGATAAATTAGCTATTTGGTATAATTTCTTTTCTTAAAAAGTTAATTGAAAAAGTTGTTTTGAGTAGCTTTTTGAAATTTCAAAAAGCTAATTAATCAAATATTTATATTGATATTTTAAGTAAATCAACAATTAATAGTGATCAAATAAGTCAAAATTGACCTATAAGCCAATTTTTTACCAAACATGGCAATATGTTTTTATCAACAAGTAAAATTAATTAATTATAAAAAAATTATCAAATGTAAAATGCACTCACAACTTTATATATAACACTATAGAAAACATAGTTAAACTGATTGACTTTCTCGCACTTTAAAAGCACTATATATAATTAAAGTGATTGTCATTCTATTTTAGTATAAACGCACTTTTAAAAACTTGTAAATTCTTAAGACACATACATCTTATAACTTATCTCCTCCACTAAATTTTTATAAGTTGGAATGCTTAATTTTGAAACTCAATCTATTACAGCTCCAAAAGGGTTGATCAAGTATCGCATAAGGAGTGATCAAGTGAGTAAAATATGATTCTTGTACCTCAATTCTTGATAGTGCTCTATAGTCAAGTTTAATACGATTTATCTTCCTTATGTATTTTGCATGCTATTATACATTAGCAGAACCTTTTAGGACATAATTTAGTGGTTAAAAGGTTGAGTGTGGATGTACTGCCAACGAATACTTAAGTTTGGATCCTATAATTACTTTTAAAAAGAAACAAAAAAAAAAAACCATAGTATAGTACTATGATTAGTCCATGCAACAGCTATTATGTTTAAGTAGCTAGCTAGGTCTTGGGCATGTATGGGGGAAAGAGAATAGTGCATTAAATAATAAAGCAAAGGCAAGAGGGAAGAGGCAGGGGGAACACCACACAAAACCTCATATTTTCAATGTAAAAAAGCTCACGAAAATCGACAAACTCCATTAAAAAACAATAATGGCAGCAACTAAGCTACAAGTTCCAATGAACCATTAAATTAATTAGCCGGAGTTTTTGAATGACTATTTATTGCATGTCTTTTGGACTGAATGATAGAGAGATTAACTTGGTTTGGTTTGGTTTACATACACAGTTACAGTAACTGTACAAATGCCGCCTGCTGTTTCTACTAGATTCCTTTGCATCATTATTCGACCTATTGAGGTTTTTGTTTTGTTCCTCGGACAGACATCAATGTGGTTTGAAATGAAGCTTGCATTATATATATATTGCCAGACATCATATGCAACTCGATCATCAGGAGATCTTGTAAAGGTCATCTATGGCGTCAAGCCATCATCAAGCTAAGTCTTTTTCAAGGAATGAGAATTGATTGTATTGTATTTTCTGAACTTAATTACAATAAGATCAGATAATGTGAATGAATATATACAATAGAATCTGCATAGGCAACTCAACTGGTCATAAAGGTAAAACTTCGAATGAATGATCAAGATTGAGTCTCACCAGCGGCAGTGTAGAAGTAAGAGCAATCTCTCAAAATAAGAGTGTTTTTTGTGGGCAATGAGCACAAGTCTAACCTCTGTGATTCATGTTCAGTAAACAGACTCAGATATATAGAGTCCTAATACAAGGAAACATTTACACTCTTCATTGTGTTTATGTACAAGTAGCTCAAGAATACGTTGCAAACAACATTGCCATTCAAGAAAGAATACATGTACAAGTGTACAAAATACAACTCAACAGCTTGAAATAGTTAAGCTAATATATAGGGCCATGTTTGGTAACATGGTTAATTTATCAGTCAAATTTGACTTGCTTGATCATTATTAGCTGTTTGACTTGATTAAACAGTCAATATCAGTGTTTGGTTAATCAGCTTTTTGTAACAGTTATATTATTCCAAAACATTAAAATTCAAAAAGCTACTACTCAAAGTAACTTTTTTTACTATTAGCTGTTTGACTTGATTAAACAATCAATATTAGTATTTGATTAATTAACATTTTGTACGGAGTAACAGCTATATTATTTCAAAACATTAAAATTTAAAAAGCTAATCAAAATAACTTTTTAAATTAATTTTTCAAAAAAAAATAAATTATACCTTTAAACGTCATTTTGCATGTAATCATCTACCAATTAACAACTACTTTACTAAATAAGTAAATATCTTTCTACACTCAATTAATAATACTATCAGCTAATTAAATCCATTAATCCAATTCATTATCAACTATTTGCCAAACACTCTCGTAATCTTCTAATCAATTAACTACTTGAATGTGTCAAGCTAATATAATCTTCTGATCCAACTCCTTGAATTAGTCAAACTAATGAAACTATAAGGTGACATTTTTTATCAACAATAATTAGAAACCCTTAATTGATGATATAACCCAATAGTTAGAAACATGTCAATATAACTACTTAAAACACTCAAGCTATTGAGTTATATATATCACCAATCAATGGTTTCAATTCTTCAATAGCTCGAAACAATCAAATATGATCTTCTGATCAACAACTTGAAACAATCAAGCTAATGTAACTATAAGGAGCATTAGTCTAGAAATTTAAGACTACCCCATACTTAAAGCAAAGGATCGAACCTTTGAAGTTTATAGTGCTAATATAATCGTGAAGTCAAATCATCAAATTAATTTATTATTGAAAATTATGAAATTTCTGACCACCGAAAAGTGATCTTAAATAAATTTGAAATCAAAAATAGCAATAAAAATTTTTCCGAATATCAAAAGTGATCGAAACAAGACTTTCAACTTAATTTAATATCACTTTCAGGTGGTCGAAAATTTCATAATTTTCAATAGTGATTGAAACACTCGATAAGTGGGTTGTTTGCAATATATATGTCAAACCGCAGATATATAATATATTGATTGAAACATTTGATAAGCGAATTGAGTTCAATCTGATTGAATTGAAACACTTGACAAGTGAACTACATTCATACTGCTAATGTACGTAATGAATTTCATAATTAAGGTAAAAATACCATATGCTAATGAAAAAAGACCAAACTTTACTTCTTTTTTTTTTTTTTTGGAATATAAATTTCCCAATTATCTCAGACTACAACCTTAACCCTATAAGCCCAGCCTAAGATCCGGTTCAATTCGGACCACCTGTACGCAAGGCCTTTATCGCCCTCACTGACTAGTCAAAATCCTGGAATGACAAATCTTTACTTTGACTGCATAGAAATGGAGAATAGGAATAAGGATTAATGAAAACAGGAATTGAAGAAGATGGAATTAAAGCAAATATCAGAGGGATAGGGATAGGGATAGGGAGAGGGAGCTCCCTTCAGTCCAAGCAAAGAGAAAAGAAGGGCGAAATTAGTCTCCCGCATCATTCACACATTCACAGTAGTTCTCATCTCCAATAAATCTCTACTGCGTTTGAATGAATGAGTCGGCAGCTAATCCTGACCCTTCATTCCCCCATGAGTGGACTGAAGGAAGCTCCCTCCAATTAACACATCTATTCACATATTAATACAACCCAAAATCTAATCTTCAAAAATGCATTTTTACATGAACCCAGATCGATATGCATACAAAAGTTGTGATTTTTAGGACTAAAATGGTGTTTGTTTAAACTATGTTGGTTACCCAGATATGGGTTTCTGCAGAAACAGCCGAAATTTCTGCTAAAGACCCAACAGACATAATGAGTTTCATGTGCAGTGCAAATCGAATCTCTAAAACTTCAATTTGATTGGAAAGAGGAACAGAGATTCAAGAATTGCTTGCATGAAACCTAACCCTAATTGTTACATAAGATGCCCAGATGAAGTACAACACAATCCATTAAAAAACCAAACAAGTACTATGAATCCAACCCAAAAAGAAGAAAAGTGAACCAACAGATCATGCAAGCTTAGTTGTCATTCATTTCCAGCACATCAATTGCAAGGATGCAGGGAGGAAAAATCTATTTAAAAACAAATTCTGACAAACAAAAAAAAAAAAAAAAAAAAAAAACTCCATTAAATATTTCCCAGAAAACAGTTTCTGCCCCACAAAATTCTTGAATCTAAACATATAGCCATAAAAATGCAGCCATTGATCTTTAAACCCTAAACCAGTCATGCAGAAACCAAGAAAGAGAGAATAGCAAGAACACACAGAATCCTTTGAGCAGCCATGGAAACCATAATAAGAATAAATAATTGGAGATAATGGCAGGTTAAGGATGGGAAAAAAAAGGAGGAAGTTAAGGTGGTTTTGTGGTACTGTTGTGTATGTAGTGTCGCTGTCTTCATGAGAATTAGAACAAGTTCAAGGAAAGCGACGTCTGGGAGGAAGATGGATCTATGCAAATCTGGCAAGAATCCATGTTATTATGTAGAAACAAAAATGGTTTTTGGGAGGGGGTGGGGAAGGGGAGGGTTTGGGGGCTGTGTTTGTAGAGAGTTGAATCTCTACAAGAGTGTAGACAGCCATGGGAATGATGTTACAAGAGAACCAGAGATGGATGTATTTATACACAGAGGGTTATAAAGCTTTTATCATCTCTTCCACACCTGTAACCCTTTCATCTTGGCATGTGTGGAATAAAGTTTTTTTTTTTTTTTTTTTTTTTTTAGTACTATTGACTTTGTTACAATGAAATATATATTCATACATACTTTCTTAGCACAAAAAGTTAATATTATCACTGAACTTCGAACACTTGACCCCATTTGTGGAATAAAGTTATGTACCAAAATTTTTTGTCAAATTTTTTATATAATAATAAAATTCTGCTTATTGTTTTTTTTTTTATCCGAACTATATTTGAAAACTCCAATTTTAATTCTAGACTAAAATGGTGGAGCTCATTTTCCTATCGTGCCGTTAAAAAAAAGTCTTAAGTGTGGTTGTTGATTCACTGAACCACTACCATAGAGCAACCTCATTGTGTGTTAGAAAGGGAATTCACATTATATAGAACAAATTTAGTGAAATTTTATAACCTTGGGGGTATGGTCTCTATCGAATGGAGTTGTAAAATCTATTGGGGAAGCTCTACCAATGAACCCTTTTCAAGTTGCACAATCACATAAATTAGATTATACAATCTACAATAATGCAAATGTCAATGTTATATGTGTCCCATATTAAAGAGTTTTAGGTTAAATATTTGTCTCATCTCAAGTAAAAATAGTCAATTATGCGCGACTTACAACAAAATTTGAACCAGTTTCATGTTTGGTTTGTGCGCCTATGAGACCGAAAGGTCTCCCAGTATTAGCTGATTATCCATGTGGCTACTCCCGCCTTGTCCCTTGGCATAATGTCTTTGATGCTCTCAAGGGATATTTCAAAACAGTCGTGCCCTAGTAACTGAATTGCCCAAGTTGACAATAAAGTTAGCACATTGGTTCCCTTCATGTAAGATGTTGACAACTTCGTAATTTCTAAGTTGACCAAGAATCAATTTCATAATGATTATATATGAATTAATCTCACAATGACCTTCACTATTATTTTGAAAAGTCTTGCTCTTAGTGCACCATTTACAAGAGTCACGCATCCAAACATGCTAAAAAAGAAATGACAAGAAACTCTTCAACTTAACCCTTTACAATAGTCGCACATTGATGAATACTTTTTTTTTTTTTTTTTTTTTTTGGGTGCGAATATGATAATAGTTACATTTATTTTGTAAACTTGGATTAAGTTCCTGATAGAAGAAAAACATTATTGAATGACATGCTCCCAGAAAAATGGGTATGAAACCAAAGATTCTAGGCATTTGTAATTTTTTTTTTTTACATGTAAGAACAGTTATAAATGGAATGTAATTAATATTATGAATAATATTATTGACTAGAAAGTAATTCAAAAGGAAATTAAACCGTTACCATATTTATTCTGATTTTGAATGAGCACTTACCATAATAGTATTATAAGAATTGATTATGATATTATATATGTAATTAATACCTTTTTATTAGGAAATTTAAGTTAGGATTTAAAATACTTTTCTTTTATTTATTTTTGCTTTTAAAATACTACTATATACATATAGAAATAAATATTAATTCAAAAATAGTTTAATCTTTTTGTTTGTGTATGTTTAAAAAAATAAATCTAGATGTTTTTGTTTTTTTTTTTTTTGTTTTTTTTTTTTTTTTGTGGGTGGGGTGGGAATGTTAAAATAATTAATAAATTAATGTTACATTTTTCTTTTAAATTTTACATCGTGTGTCATTTGATTAATAAATGAATGTTTTATTTTTAATTCATGATGGGTCTGTCGAATCATAAAAAAACAACCATGGTGGTTGAATTCAAATATGAAATCTTTTGTCATGTAGGCCAAGTCAACATACCAAAAAATAAAGGCAACACAAAATTTGTAGGGTAGCTGTCAACTGATAATTATTCTAACGTTCTTACAAGGTGTTTGGTTGATTGTAATTGAAATTCATTTTCAATGAAAACTCCATTGTTTTGAGAGAATTGTAATTCCCTTCAACTATTAAATTATAACTCATGACGATTATTCTAATGCTCTTACAATGTGCTTTTATTTGGGAGGGAGGGGATGGGGTAACCCAGCTAGGTTAATTCCTAGCTCTCGTTGCCTCGTCAATGAGCCAACTCTTCGCCACATCAGCTTCTAGATGTCTCAAGACCTCATCCGGAGGGTTTGTGAACCCAATCCAATCACGCCGTCTTTGCAAAGCTAGCTTTGCAAGGGTGTCCGCCACGTAATTTTGATTTCTCATAACGTGTTGAACTCTGATTTTCCAGTCCTTGTTCAGCCAGCTTTGCACTCGTTAATGAGTCTACCACAAGGCTCGAGGATCTCTGTATTTGAGTTGATCCAGTTAACCACCTCTTGCGAGTCACAAAGGAAACAAAAATATTTTCTCTCCACTGTTACAATATGTTTGGTTGATTGTAATTGGAATACATTTCCAATGAAAACTCAATTGTTTTGTTTGAGAGAATTACAATTCAATCAAACTATTGAATTATAATTCTTGAGTCCCCCCAATTAATTGGAATTCAACAGCAGCATATTGGAAGGGGAAAAGAAGAAATTTATGAATTTCTCCTTTAATAATATTGTTATTATACAATAGGCATTTTAGTCTTTATATACCATTTCTTCCATTTTTATTCATAATAATTCTATTCATTCATATTAAATAATGTAATTTGAATTCATACTTTATTCCTACATTATTTTTTATCACAAAATGACAATTCACTTTCTTCATAATTTTATTTTTTCATCTCTAACGAGTGCGTGGATGAGTTATTTGTGTAGACTTTTTTATCCTTAAAAATTGTGAAAAACTCTTTCATTTTTTTTTTTTTTTTGGGTCTCTGATTCCCTCTCAACTCTACCTAAACATTTTTTTCTCACAAATTGTGAACCCCCACTCCACCCCCCCCCCCCCCCCACCCAACCGTATGGGATACTCTAAGTAGTCAATGGGTTTTATTGTTGCATCAATGTTATGAGAGGAATTCAAGAAGAGAAAATAACATTTGTCTAATTATAATTGAATTATTTTCTCCAAATTTTGGTCACTGGCCATATAAAACATTTTGTACATTTCTTCAATTATGCAATATGTTTTTGTTTATTTTTATTAATCAATGATCACTTCTTTTTGTTAATTAAGAGTGCGTTTGTGAATACCATTGAAATAATTTATCACTCCAAAAGTGCTCCACATAAGACCATTGTTCGGATGAAATGTTGTTGAGTTATATTTTATTTTGTATTTTATTTTTTTCCATACTTATTTAACACAGGTTGTAATTTTTTTTTTCTTTTTTCTTTTATAATCTCCAATAAGATACATATATAGTGACTAATACTCCTTCAAATACATTATTTTTAATAATAATAATATTATTATTATTATTATTATTAGGAAAAATGACACTTTTTCTCTCTGAGTTATATATTTATAGCACTTCCCCCCCCCCCCCCCCCTCAATTATTCAAGTGGCTGTTTTTTCCCCTAAAATGTTAAATGGACATATTTACCCTTAAAATAAATATTTTATTTATTTTTCTTCTCAAACAAATTATGACCATAATTTGGTTCAAACCAAATAAACACTATAGCAACCAAACCGAAATATTCCAATTACAATTTAGAATCGAAACTCGATATTTAGAGTTTATTAAAATCCCGGAACGGACGGTTCATGTTCCGAATTGAAAAAATAAAATACATTTATTGTTGAATTTAGACTATTTTTAAAATAAAAATAAAATTTTAAAATAAAAACGGTTCAAAATCGCGAATCGGGTCCGGAACCGCCAGTTCACGGTTCAGGATCCAATTTTTTTGATTCGTAATTTTAATAAATTGAAATCCAAATATTGGGTTCTAGATCTGAATCATAACCGAAAACTTTTAATTCGATTGCTATAGTGTCCGATTCAGTTCGAACCGAATCGTAGTCATCCCTACGTATACGCAATAATTTGTTGGAGAAGTAAAATAAATAAAATGTTTATTTTAATGGTATAAATGTCAATTTAATATATTAGGGGGAAAACAACCACTTTTAGAATAATTGAAGGGACTAATGTGCTTACCTAAATAATTGAGGGGGAAAAGGTGCTATAAGTATATAATTCAGGGGGAAGAAGTGCCATTTTCCCTTATTATTATTATTATTATTATTATTATTATTATTATTATTATTATTATTATTATTATTATTATTTCCTTTGTTTTATCTTCCATTCACCGTGGTGGTGTTAGTGATAAGGATATATGCACTCCAAGCCTTTATTTGATAACTCAATTAGTTTAAGGTGAAATATTGTACTCAATGAAACTGCAAAATTAAATTCTAGCTATGATAGTGTCACACTATGGGAGTTTCACCCTCACCTATCTCTCACGTTGACGTGACTTATTGTAAACACTAAACACTTATCCTCTCACTAAAATTTAATTAAGAGCATCCTCAACATTTACGATTTTTGAAGAATTTTACATATCTGACTAAAAAAGAGAAGATGAGAGAAAAACTAGAGAGAAAGAAAAGAAAAGAAAAAAAAAACTGAAGATCTTAGCCGGCGCGCAAGTTTGCCCGAACACGCAATAATTGCACAGCTGGTTTCCCCACGCGGGTCCCACCTTTTCCGATCAAATACTCATTCTCCAGCAAGCAACTTAGCAACCCATTTCTTCTTTCTCATCACCCTCTTTCCTGCACATCATCTTTAATCTGTTTTCTCAAAAATCTCACCAAAAATTACTGGTGAATATGTTAAGTCACTATGATTTAACATTTTTCTTTTTATCAACCAGAAATGGTGTGGTGGGGTTTTCTCTATGTGACCATTGCTCTTTTAAACTAGGCATGCATGACTCCGTATTCTCACTCGATCTACATCTACAAATTACAGTATTAGAATCTGCCATCTTTAACCTGCAGCTGCCGCTACTGTATATATAGATTTAAAACAACATTGTAAAAGTCTGATGGAGGTGATGGATATCACCTAATGAAATGACTTGAAAACCCT